CGCCCGCGGCAGGGCTGATCTGGGGCGTAACCATAACCCTGTGGGATGGGCGGTTACAAGCCTTGGACCTGAGATGGGAAATGCCTTAGGTCGGACCTAGGATGGGAGATGCCTTAGGTCTTGGTAGATATGGAATGGTTGAATTGGTTTGGAGAGTGTGAAGTGTGTGGGGCGAAGTTTGTGCTAGGAGTGAGCACAAAACCCCCCATTTCACAAGATAAGCAGGTCAAAGAGATATGGAAATTGGTAGCACTGAAGACCTTGTACCTTGCCCCCATATTTCTGCCACAAAGAGAGTTGTGTTGTGTGTTTTCTTGTGTCTGTCATATATATAGTTAGGGATAGGTGAAGCTGGGCGAACGATGATTAATGAACATAAGTTTCGGTCCTTTGTATTCGCCGGCCTTTGACTTTCGACCCTGTTGATATGGACCGCGATCACATTCTGTTGACAGTTTCGATCGTCAAAACTTGATCCTCAAATGACATCACCTTCTCAAACGTTTATTGGTTACACGTTGTTTACTGTATGATGTAACGTGACAGCGCGCGCGCAACACAGAGTTGTGCTCAACCGTTACCAACCACCAACGTCGCAGTAAGCGGCATCACACTACAGAAGGAAGATCGAGTTTTGTGGCGGTACCTGACAAACGTATTATAAAGGTTGGTACGTTGAACAGTTCAAAATTTTCGCTCTATGAATTTGTCTTCTTTGGTAACGTTGATCAGAATGCTTGGCGAGTTTGAAGTTTACCTAGCAAGACTGGTTGGAACTAACACCAGGTAAATGTCCCTGATATTTACCTCCAATTTGAGCTACGAAGATTGTTTTCTGGCCTTGGGTCTCAGTCTAGTTGTTGTTGTTCATGAAAAGAAAAGGTAAGGTAGCCTACATAGCTGATCACAAGGTAGTATTGCTCTAAATACTTCCCAAAACAACTCCATTGTTCTAGAACTTTCATACGCAACAGGGGGATTCCCCTATTACGTCATATAGGGGCCCTGGTCGTGGGTTACTTGTTTTTCTCATGATCAAATGCAACAACACTCGTAGGGGGCTCAGTACGCTGTCAGCGGAACATAATGTGCCACTTCGATAGTTTTTGACAGTTAAGAATTTGACCTACGTCGTCGTAAAGACAGTGTTCGATACTGAGTCCAGCAGAATGGTAAGTTTTACCAAGTGAACGGTTTTACAGTTAAAATTACTGTACAATCATTTAACCTCCTTGGTACAATCGAACAGTACCCCCTTTTCCTAGCACAAGTGAATTTGTTACTGTTTACCTACGATATTCCTGTGGCTTTCCCACGTTCTCGACTGTTCTGTATCATAAAGTTACTGGGTCCACTAGTGTGAGGCCAGTGTTGTCATACTCTCCAAGCAGAGGTTTGGGTTTTGGAGCTCATTTATGGCGTGTTTTTATGCATTTTTTATCGGGCTTTCCTTTTTGCACTGGTAAGCGTAAAATGAGATATCAATTCAAAAAAGAAAGCCTGACAAAAAAGCATAAATACACGCAAACAATAAGCCCAAACCTCTGCTTGGAGGGTAGTGCTGCCATACTTTTCTGACTGTATGATACGTACATTTACAGTTCAGAAGTCATGGCAAATGTCGGAGCACCAGACGACTGGACTGATGTGTTTGAGACCGAGATCTGTGCAGAGTTCCAAGAGGAATGGACCCTGACCGAGGTCAATGACCTACCGGACATCAACCAAGCTAGATACTCTGGGTGGAAACAGTTCACTGACAAAGCCAAGGTCGGTTTTTAAGCAAACACATTTGAATTTCCTCAAGTGATACTTAAGATTTACAGTAACCTCAAGGACATGAATGACACAAAAAAGTTATGATAGAAGGATGTTCTAGAACTCATTTGTAGCACTCCACAGAATGTGTTGTAATGTTACTGTAACAGTGCATCATCAAAGGTCAGGGTAACCTGTGTCAATAATGATATTACAGTCTGTTTTGCTAAGCTGTATACTCAATGTTTACTTGATCACAGTTTACTAAAACTTAAGGCCTTGCCATTTAAACAGGTGCGGTTTGCATGCAGTGAGTGCAACAACACCTGGACATCCACAAGGGGCCTGGTCATCTTCCACTACCGCCTCAAGATGACAGGTCAAGTGAAGATGTACCTGCCAGGGCAGAAGTGTCACCACTGTGAGGAAGATTTCGAGTCTCCTGACTGGTATGAAGAAGAGATGGTCAAGGTAATGCAAAATCTCCAAAAGAAGATAGATGAGAAGTACTACAGCAGGAATAATGGCCCCAAAAGGCTGAATTTGGGTCAAAGATCAGCAAACATGAAAAGCAGTCATCAGGCTGCTCTTTGTGAGGCATGTCAGAAGGGCATCTGTAGGCAGAGTGCAGATCAGTACAGGCATGTTCAGGAGGATACAGATGATGACAGTAGTCAGACAGATGAGGAAACAGATGAGGAGTCAGGTGATAACTGGGATCAGGAATCTAAGGAATCAGATGATGGCTCTTATTGGCAGAGGGATTATAGGGATCCCTATGAGGAAGAGTATGATGATGATGATTCTTATTGGGACTAAAGTGATCCCAATAGGATTCAGATGTCATGAAAGTTCATGTGTTGGTAGTTACATGTTTAAGTTGAAACTTGTGTTCTAACACAAAGAATTGTTCTGACTTAGAGCTTTCCACTGACCCAGTGAGACGTGTCATGTGGCTTCTTGAAGTGTGATGTAAACACTGGGTCAGCTATCTGGTAAATGATGTCAGCCCCCGTCGCGGTTGATTCAGATGAATCACTACATGATCATGTACATGTATTAGCAAAATTGTTAAGGGGCATATTTCATGTAAATTCAGAACACAATGGTGTTGGCAATCTCTACTGAGTCCCAATTTTAGTGTCATTGACATAGGTCAACTTTAGAGTCTTAGGTAGACCTAAGATAAACTTGTAATGTATTTTATTTTGGCTTTGCAGACTTCCTGGTAATTCTCTAAGAATCTGCTGTAGTTTTATATCTATGTATAATTCCATTTTGTCAAAATTTACTAGTGTACAGGGCTAGAACCCATGAGGAAGTTTTAGGTGTGATGTAACATTACACCCCTCTTGCTCTGTCACCAGCATAGTTGTTTTGAGTGAAATTTATATCATATAAATAATCTCAAGATATGTCATTTAATCTTTTCTTGTAATAAAAGAAACATTCCTTCTGCCTATATAAGTTCTAAAGCCTATAAAACAGCATTATTGGTCTTGTCCTTGCAGATGTTTAACACAGAATGTTAGGACAAAACTTTTAATATTCACATGCAAGGAAGCTACATGAAAATAACTCATGTAACGTTACCTTACAACAGGAAGCAATATTTTACCTATGATATGGATGTTAATGTTTAACTAGAAAAGGCACTACACCATATATTTTATGGGAAGATTATATATAACAGTCTTAATGTAATACATAATGTGTGCAGAAGTACAAGTACTTTATTGATGAACAATTTTTGCCTCTTGTTGTCCTTTTAAACTTTGTTACTTTAGTTAAACTTTGTTACTTTAGCTATGTTAAAAGAATAAGGCATTATGTGGCCTTTGGGTAAAGGGTAGCCCTGCAAGGTAGCCCTAGCCCTAGACCTAGCCCACCTTTTCCGGATACCCGTTTTTGACAGAAATGGTTTTAGAAAACGTTATGATTATCGCTTTTGCTGAAAGGCAGCAAAATTTACTAAAATCCGTCCGGAAATCCATCGAAACACGATCTAAACATGCCACCGGCTCACCTGGCGAAACTTTTTGACCTTTGACCTAATCTCCTTAAGCGCCAACTAGCAATGCCTGAAGGTACAACAGCTTCCTGGCCTCCAGCAAACAAAACATCTTAATTTAGCGCTGCCCAGTGGCGTGTTTCGATACTGCAGTCCCTGACATCTCACATTATGAAGGCTAATACCAGTGCCTGCAGTACTGAAACTCATCACTGGGACGCTAAATTAAGACCGTATGTGCGTCAAGTGCAGTGTTTGCTTTTCAATACATCGTCAGAAGTTCAGAACTTAGTTTACTTTCCTCCAAACAAAGAAAATGTCACAATACGGAAACTTGTTGCACTGTTAACCAGCTAGGGTGCAATTGTGAAGGAAAGAAAGGCTTTGGAAAGGAGAAATCGAAAGGTTTTCCTGGCTACGTAGTTTCGCCGACTGGTGGTAAACAGGTAATTTTTCGGTCGTCTTTTTGTATCCCCTGATTACCCAACTAGTACAAGTTATGTCCGCCTAACGGTTAGGTGCTTGGTCAAAATCAACAAGCATCTAACCGATGGACGGACATAACGTGTACTAGTTGGGTAATCAGGAGATAAAAAAAGACGACCGGAAAATCACCTGTTTACCACCAGTCGGCGTACAATTGAGTCACTAATGTGGTTGCTACGTACTAGGTTCCTGACTGCTGTGGTAGTAACAATGTTAAAATTGAGTGGTCTTTTTATCTCCTGATTATACAAATGGTACATGTTATGTTCGCCGGACGGTCAAATGCATACTGCTTGTGATGGAAGATATCAGTGACTGCAGTACCGAAACACGTCACTGGGCGGCGCTAAATTAAGACCGTGTGAGCGTTGGCCGTGACAATGTCTTTTTAATCCTGATTACCCAAATTATATTCGCCGCACTTCCAGTTTGGAGCGCCTCAAATTAGGCTCTCTTGGGGGTTATCATTTTCACCTGATCATCATACAAATGTTCACCTTTCCAGAAAACGCTAAATGTTTTCAATATGTTCTTGGCAGTTCTGTCGTACGTTTCCCATTGTCTACAAACACCACCGTAAAGAAAAGCTGCAGATAGAAATTTTATTCCAACTTTTTTGTCAGCTAACTGTTTGGTCATTTACAGAACTATTGCGCAGGTGCAGTACGTTCTGCCGACGTGTTAATCCTGGCTATTGTAGATGCATAAACTGCCCATAAACTTTCTTATCGATAGATGAAAAGAAACGTTCAACTCAAGACATTTCCTATGTTGGTTACTCTTTATCGGTTCAGGCTTACGAAATTATTGGTATCCAGTCTAAAGTGGATTGCGTCGGCTCTCTTCGGGGCGGTCCGGCTCTCCGCCGCCCGGCTTAAAAAAAGGCAACCGTATTAAGCAGCTGTTACGAGTTTTTCGCGTTGAAAATCTCGTAGAGCCCACGATAATCCATGATAGAACTTGATACCAGGCCGCCAAGTTACAAGCAACGGCTTTACATTATGAAGGTGAAGTGCATGGATCAAAAGCGACCCCTAACAGTTCAATATAGGACTGCAGTATATGCAAGCTTAGCTGCAATAATTTTTTTCACCGCTAAGGGGCGCTTTTGATCCATGGCGCTTTGTGTATTTTCTTACCACTGTGCTGTGTTATTTTATGAAAGCTAATGTGCCACATTTCAACTACATGCCTGGGCCAACGAATCATTGAGCTATCCAGTGAAGAGCTTTGACAGATTGAAACTACTGGTAAGTGAATTTGAAGCCTTCTACAGAAAAGTATTCAATGAACGAACTAGACTGGGATACATTTAAAAAACATCGTAGAGAAACAAAAAAGAAGATTAGGAAAGCCCATAACGAATACCTTAACAACATCATGAGTGAATCCTTGGTAAACCCTAAAAAATTTTGGAATTATATAAAAGGGAGAAAGCAGACAGCTACAGGGATCGCACCATTAAAACAGCAGAATGACCTTATTTCAGACAACCAACAGAAAGCGGAAATACTTAACCAACAGTACGAATCAGTGTTTACAGAAGAGAATATGCTTAATATCCCAGACTTAGGTAGAAGCCCCCACGAAGATATGCCCTTAATAAGTGTTACCCTCGAAGGAGTACAAAAGCTACTATTAGGAATCAACCCCCACAAGGCCTGTGGTCCCGACCTAATCCCCTGTAGGATTTTAAAAGAGTACGCTACAGAAATCAGTCACATACTGCATTTTATATTCAATCAATCCCTAGAAACGGGACAGGT